TGCTCTGTCTCTGTCCCAAAAATAAATAAAAACGTTAAAAAAAATAAAAAATAAATAAATAAAATAGGGGCTAGAGCTGTGCTGCTGACAAGGCAGCCACTAAACTCAGGTGGTTACTAAGCATCTGAAGTGTCAGAACTGAGATGCAGGATACGTGTAAAATGCGCACGGCATCACGAAGACTGCTTTTTAAAAGACTAACGCATCTCGCTAATGACTTTTACACTGCTTATGTACTGAAATAGTATTTGGATATTTTGGGCTAAGTAAAATGTAAATGTTAAATTCACCTTTACCTTTTTATTTTTTCAAAGTGCCTACTAGAAAACTTTACACAGTGGCTCGTGTTATATTTCTGTAAGCACTGGGCTAGATTACTGGGCAGAAACCACGCTTCGAGGGACAGAGGTCAAGGTTATTGATACTGAAGTTTGGTTATAACTGAAGGCTAGGTTAGTGGGAGACAAGGGGCTCGGTAATCCAGGCCGAGGTTATCAGAGCATAAGATCTAGACTTTGGGGCAGGGGCTAAGTTGCTGGGGGAGAAGAGTCTGGTGGCATTAGTGGGGGCAGAGAGATTGTGCTACAAACCAGACAAGGGGGTGTGCTCAAGATGGGGCTGGAAGAAGGGGCAAAAGGACTGTGCCTAAGCCAGGCAGGGGCAGCAGGTTGGCCCACACTCACCGCTTCTGCTCCCTAGAGGAAAAAGAGACAGCATTATTTGGTGCCACCACCTCAGGGGCATGATCAAGACACCCTACCAGGCCCTGAAGCTTCCGGTCCCCCGGCTCACCTCTCCTCTTCTAGCTTCTTCCGCAGGAGGTCTCGCCTCCAGGCAGGCATGCTGGCCAGCCGGGCCTCCTCCTCTTCCTCCTGAAACACAAGCACAGAACTTCAGGACCAGCATGCGCTGGGAGGTGGGGTTTGGGGGAGGTGCACCCCCAACCCCGGGGGACCCGCACTAGTCAGGGACAATGGGATACAGACGTCCTTCTACAGAGCAAATAGATGAAGGTGCCTGGCCACAACCCCCTTAGAGGGGGCCTCCTGTGCCCTACCCCCTCATAACTCAGGCCCCCTGTGTTCTAGAGGTGGTGCCAGACAGGTCAGAGCTAAGGTGCAGGAGAGGAGCAGAGAATGAGATTTCCCACTAGGGCAGGCTGATGGATGGCTCCAGGGCCCTGACCTCGACTCTCTGGGCAGACCCATACTTGGGCCCCCACAGATCCAGCCAGCTCGGAGGGGCTCAAGCTGGCCTCCACTGCGAAGGACCTTCTGGCCTATGCACGTCCTGTTCCCAAGTGGAGTAGACACTACCTCTACAACTGTGTGGCTGCATCGACTTGGCAGGGGCGGAGGCGGGCATCCAACACAGGCAGCTTACAGCAAAGAGTTTTATTACGTGGATGTTACACAGGAGAACACGTCACACGGAACACTACACATGTGGCTCCCTTGACCTCAAAGAAGTAGCTGTGAATTCCAGTGCAAAACCAAAGAGAGGAGAGCCACACTGCCCCAGGGGGGACCCACGGTCCCTCACTCAGAGGGGCGGCTTCTTCTACCTGCCTACCATGCAGAGCCGGGCGAGACTGTAGGCCCAGAGGGGAACACCTGGTTTGCCCTGTGCCCTGCCCACTGCAGCCACTGCCCCACATCTGGTCATAGTGGGCTTCAAAGGCTCTGGCAGCCTGGTCCTGGATACTCCGGGTTTTCCAAGGCCACCCTGCTGGCTTCTGGGTTTTTCCTGTGGGCTTCTGGCCTCCAGAGGGCATCAGACGGGCATCCAAGCCTGGGTTAAGATGCTTGAGGGGGAAACTCTGATTTCTGCTGCTCAGATGTCAAAAAGCTCTGCCTCCTTCTCCTTCCAGAAGGAGAAGCTGCGGTCGATGTAGCGGCAGATGTCCTCGTTGCTGAACTCGCCCATCTCAGACACCAGCTCCAGGGGGTCTTCGACAGGGGCTTCGGAACCAGGAGGGTCCCACGTCGGGGGAGGCGCGGCTGGCGGAGGGGGGCTGGGGGGCTGCGGCGCAGGAGCTGGGGCCTCGGGCTGCCCCTCTGGCCAGTCCACCGTTTGACCCGGAGGGACCTTTTCTGCCGGCTCCCCCTCCTCCTCTTCCTCTTCTTTTTTCTCTTCTTGCTCCTTCTCCGCTTCTTCTTCCCGGGCTGGCTCAGCCTCCGGGCTGTCTCCAAAGAACTGGCGCCTGAGGTCCTCGAAGCCGTCGCTCCAGGTTCGTCGGCCAGCCTCCACCTCCTCGAGCACCACGCGGTGGAAGAGGCGGATGAGCTCCCACGGGTGGCTGCCCAGCCGGTCGAACATCTCGTAGCACAGCAGGTGGCGGAACTTGCGCTCCTCGCGGCTCAGGCCCATCTCCAGCAGCTGGAAGTAGCCGAGCATGAAGAGGTCGAGCGTGAGGCTGTCGTAGCGCGGGGGCGCGCCGCCGTCCAGGGGCGGCAGAAAGTGTTCGGGCCAGTACAGGCCGTGAGCCAGGCCCGAGCCACACGAAGGGCGTACCGGCACCTGCCGCAGCAGGCTCCGCCAGTGGCCCAGCAGCT